GTTTGGGCTGGTTGTGTAATCTCCTTTGAAAACCACAATAACGGTTGAGGTTCTAGAAATTCTTTGGCAACCCATTTCCCTGCTTACATGTTATGACTGTGACAAGCCCAAATCCCTCTTGCTGCAAAAGAACAGGTACATTTTACCCTCCCACCAGGGTCCTGGCTATGCAGGAGCTGCCCTGCTGGGTGACACCAACAGTTCATTCAGCCCAGCCATGTTTTTTTTCCAAGAGGACTTCAGGAAATGCTAAGGGTGGCCTGGCTTCTATGTCCAGGTTGCACCTTTCACACTCCACAAGCCCTGTTGGCTGAGAGCTGCTGGAGGGAACAGCCTCATCCCTTTGAACTTCATTCTGTGAAAAATTTAATGTCTTTGTCCCCCTCTTTTCTGAACCTCCAAGTTGGAGGTTTGAGTCTTTTCAGTCTCTCCCTATCAGGCAGCTCTTCTGTCTCCACCAACATTCCAGTCCCCTGGAGCTTCTCTAACTCCACCAGATTACAAAGAACAGCAACACACTTCACTGCTAACTGCTCTCCAAGTGCTGCTCTTCAGCTGTCTTTTCCAAAGAGAATTTCTTAGGAGTTTCCTTGTTTCCAAGTGTTAAATGCCACACACAGGTTTGCAAAGACCTCTCCCTTTTTTTTCTTCCTTCTCCTCACTTCTGAGCTTTGTCCACCCTCCCTTGCTGATGTTCTAAGTAAACATTTCACCTTCACTGACATCATTTCTTACCCTCTGCAGGGCAGTCATGGACCAACATTATCCTTAGTCCTCCCTGCCATCAGTGAGGGGCTTCTTGTTGATGGTCATAAGCAACAAGGAACTTGTGGTTCATTATCTTTGACTGCTCTTCCTCCTTGTCTCTCATTTTCGTGCTTTGGACCTTCCAAAAAGCACAAAACTCCTCTTTTCCATTCTGAAAGTCTTGAAAACCTTGTAACAAAATTCTTATTAACCCCCACCCTCTGTATCAAACTGACATCATCTAAAAATCCCCTGCATACTCTGTGTTCAATTTATTTCCCCCCAACAAATATTTGCTGAACTAAGACCTCCTGAAGGCAAATTATTCTGTCAGCTGGTTTAAAAAAAATGCTCCTCCCATCTTATCCTTCTTGCTGGTCTTAATGGGAGATCCTCAGCAGAACATCTCCTTTCCTTATCACAAAGCCACTTTCAACAGATTTTCTCCCTCTATGTTCTAGACATAAATACAAAGGTAAATATTCCTAGAGAAGCAAATCTCTCCTCCCTTTTTTTTGTCAGGAGCCAGGTCTGCTTTTTCTTTTCTGTATTAATCCATGAACACAAGCACATCAAGTAAACATTTACCCTGCCTAAATCCCAACTGTGCAGAGAACCTTGTAGATCCTTCCATTTGCTTCCCATGCAGCCCCCACTACCACTGACATCTTAAATATGAACCAGACATATTCACTCTCCTGTTTTCTATATTGCTGACATCTTTTTTATAACCCCCCTGTCTCCATGGTTACTGTGTCTCTGGCCACCTTTCCACTGATAACACTTCAGATTCTTTTGTCATCAGTCACTCATTCTAGTTGAGAAGCACTTATTTTCCCTTAAGAGCCAGCAACCATCTCTCCTCAGCAATCCTTTCTTTTCTGTCCTGCAAGCTCAGCCACTCAAACTGGCAACAGGAGGATCAGGTCAATTAAAAAGAAGAGTTTTTCTCATTTCCCTTTGAACAGCAATTCTCTTTGCCCAGTGAGAGACCTACCAGCTGTGAACCAGATATTTTGAAGAATCATTTGATATAAATTAAAACCTGTGCTAGATCACAAAATCCAGGATCAACAAGAAAAGATAAATCATGATTCTCAAGGGTTTCATAACTGTAGATCTGTATATATGAGAATTCATAAGCATCTCTTGGAACACAAACAAAACTGGCAGTTATCAGTTACATGGGAAAATAATTCATGGGTTGGGAATGAGTGACTCTGGGGTTGGCATAGAATCATCAAGGTTGGAAAAGACCTTCAAGATCAAGTTCAAAACAATCCTTTTCAGACTAAGCCAGGCATAAATTCTACCCAAATGAACTCGCTGCTGGCAGAACTGTTGGTCTCCATGAGATCTGGAGCCTGGGATTCACTTTTCCTGCACCAGCACCTCCTGTGGCAGTGACTGCAGAGCTGCAGAGAGATGTGCTCCTGCAGATGCCCCGTTGCAGAGGAGAGGGCTGCAGCACAGTCATTCCATTGCAACATCAGGACCACACTGGATTCTCAGCAACCATCTCGAGGGCAAAAATCCCCAAGCCAAAAGTCCCATTTCCCCCCCCTACTACCACACCAAGCCAGAATCTTACCACAGAGAGGATCTTCAGAAGGTTGAAGAGCCCAACACTTGTCTTCCTCGCAGCCTCTGCTTCCCTCAGCTCATTTTCCTGCTATATATACCCTGGACTTCAGGAAGTGCCCTCTTCATAAAATATTTCCTGTATATGCAAATACACAGGTTCACAATTGCTCGTGGACATCCTTAGCAAACAGTTCTTGGAACTTGCTGAGAAATTATGACTTGCTGGTTTTTAGTATTTCCTTCTAATCCTGGTCTTTTTGTCTTCCAGCCTTTTTGCTTTTCCCACTGTGCAACACAATTCCTTGGCTCTGCTCTAGCCTCCAGGACATCCCTGACATCTTGGACATGGCAATTCCTTTTGTTGGGTACTTGGATTTACAGATTCCATTATTTTTCCTTTATTCTAACTTACCAGCAAATTAAATTCCAGCTATAACTGCAAGAACTGACCAGTGTACACGACCAAAAAGCTACTGTTTTCTATTGATACATGAGGGATCCAATCCTTAAAAATCAAATATATATAGATCAAGTATTTATAGATATCAAATCAAATGCTCTCTAATGGCCTTCAAAGCCATGATAGCATTTTAAAAAACATATTTTATGTGAAACCAGTTAGGAAAGGTGAATATTCAAGCATTTCAACAGCAGTTTTTACTCAGGTCTGTGTGCCATCAAAATGACAAGTTGCCACCAAAGGAGACTGATACCTCTTCTTTCTCCACCAAAGGAGAGAGGGATCTGGAGCCTAAGAAAAATAAAACTCCAGAGGATGAGGTATCTCACAAACAGGGCTATGTATGAGGATTCTCCAGGGGGGAATTAATGAAAAAGACTTTCTAAACAGCAAAAAAACTCAGAACTTCCCTTGATGTTACAGCCAAGAGAGCAGGGGGGGCTTTACATTTGTCCTGGACAGGAGACAAGAGGAGTGTGGTGTAACCTCTGAGTACCCTCAGGTCATCAAGTCTCACTTTGCTTGTGCTCCCAGCACCCAAGGAGTGTCTGCACATCAGGGTGGGTACATCTCCCTTTCTACTCTGAGCTGTGGAAGCACAAGCCCCTGCAGACACAGGAGCTGACAGCTTAGGCAGTGCCACACCAGTTGTGCTGAGCACCTGAGGTGTTCCATGTGCACAACCACCTACACCCAGCAGCCAGAGGAGTGCAAACCTGCCATGATCCACACTCCCTGGGGGATGTCAGGTGGAAAACCCCCTCATTTTCCCCTGCACATCGGAGTTCCTTTGATAAAATGACCTCTGGCAAACACCTCCTGTCTCAATACAGACAGCAGTCACACCCACAGTGCCAACTGGCTTGTACATCCCTGTCAAGGAGCATAGAAGCTTCTACAAGGACGTTTTCCACCCCAGCAATTTAATTTTCTGTACTCTGACTTCAGCTCTAGCTCAGCATTTGAGCAAGACCAATAAAATCTGTCTGAAACACCCTCTGACATCTCACTTCAGACCTCTGCTCTGACGACACCACCAGGGCCATAAAGTGAGGACATTATCAGTCCCCCACTTAGTAATTCTCAACGGGAAGACAAGAAGAACATGGAACTAACCTCTCTTCCTTTCAGTTTCTGTATCACTTCTCAGAATCAGCACATGCTCATGTCACTGCTCTCATGTGTACCTAAAAATACCCAGATGAAAAGGCAACAGCTCACTGGGAAGGTGTGTTGTCACCCTTTGTTTACTGGCAACACAACACGCCAGGCTACGTGAGATGAGTCTCAGAGGGGGGTACAAAGAGGCTTCCAAATTGTTCTGACACCCCATTTCAGTTCACAACTCAGATGACTACTTACAGCTTCTCTCTGTCTCTCAATCTGCTGCTGCCAAGTGGGCTAAATCCCACTCCTCTCTCCCCTGCATAAGTTTCCAGTGCTTATCTGTGGCTTTCACCAGATAATTCTATTCAATGATGCTGAAAAAAATAAATGAATAAAGGAATGAAATTTATTCCTTGAGGTTCACTGGAGGATTTTACATGCTTTAAAGCCAAGGAAAATAGAAGGAAGAGCAGTGACAAGCAGCTGCTGGACCAGCTCAACTGAAACACATTTTGTGCTCCCCTGTCCTGGTTTAAACATCTTCTAAACACCCTTTTCTCCCTGAAGCACCAACCTTTCCTAGGATGTGACATTCAAAAAGACTTCAGAGGCTTTTTGATACAAGATATTTGGGGCTTTTTTTGCTTAGGGAAGAAGGAGCACACACTAACATCAACTCCAGTCCTGTTAGAAAGAACAGCCCTGAGAAGATTATGTAATGATCTTATTGCTAAACTTCACTGCTTCACTTTGCACGTGATATTGAGTTTCCCCCTGCTTCAACAGGCCCTGTAATGCAGTGATGACTAGAGCTGGCCAAACAGTTCAGTTTGTTGTCAGTTTTTTTGAAAACAAGAGATTCTTCCCCAAAAATTCTCACATTGTTTTAATTGGTCTTCAAAAAGTGGTTATCTTGTCACATTGTTAGACCCTACTGGAAGCAGTAATAATCAACCAAGCTGAGAAGCAATTAATGGAGAGAGTCTGGACAGAAATACTGAATACATCATTTTTGAGAACAGGCAGTGGTTCAGCTTTCAAAAGGCTTTTGACCAGAAGTCAGGCTGACAAATGACATAAATTACACAACATGACAATACTCTTAGATATCAGCTTCACAGATAATTCCTTTTCCTTCTATATCTCCTTCAGGATCACAGGTCAGTTCTTGTTGGTTCTTGTCTTCAACCAGACTTTTCAGATGTGAGAAATGGTGTAAAGTCCTAGAGGAGGAAAAATAAAGACCTGAAAAAACAGTTTGTAAGTTCCTGTTAACATTTAACACCAAATGATGTTGATTTCTTACCAACACCTTAAGTTTGAATGGTATGACATACAGTTTACATCTGTGTCTAACTGCTCCACTTATTGCTTTAGAGATTATAAAATACAATAAGGCTGGTTTTAAAAAGATAAATATTTTTGGAACTGAAATTTTAAATCTTCTCACACACACAATTTCTATGAAATTATTACTAAATGAGTATTGAACCCAGAATGTTAAACACTGCAAAGTATCCTGCCATAAAACAGCATATCAGTGTAGTAACTTTCAGTATTTTAAATTAAACAATCTTTTAATTTTGCAAGACAGTCTAAAACTATTCTGCAGCACTGAGTTTGATTTAAACAGATGCTCTGCATAATACAAACTTGGTTTCCATTCTCAAACTTATTCCCTCAGTCACTTCTAACTGTTCAGTAGGACACTTTGTGTCTTTATCATTCTATGAATGATCTCATTCATGGAATAGGTTTTAAAGCAATTTTTTACTTCACTGTAGTGAAAAAGGTTAAATATTTGGTGCCTTTATGACACACTTCTCCAAATCTGATTATTTTAAAGTCCATTTATGTGTAGCAATAATTAACCCATTGACCTAGATGAAATACCAATGTCTATTTATAGGGTACATCTCTACAACCATTCAGTGGGTATTTCTCTTCTCCATGAACTGCCATGTTTTTAATTATCATTATTATTATGATAACTTGTTCTTAGCAAAGTTTTTAGAGCACATGACAAATCTCTCAGCTCATTTATTTTTCCTTTTTTGCACCTTCTGAAACAAGTTAAAAATACAAAAAAAAAAACCCAACAGTGGTCACTTACTTCTGAACAGAATTAGCAAGAGGGATTATCTCACTGCCACACAGCTTTAATTCATCCTCTGCTTTTTCAGGAAGCTTAAAACAAACAAAAAAACAACACCCAAAAATGTTAACTGAAGGGACAGCAGCTGGGGATGACAGAAACCAGTAAATTATTGATGACGTGTTGCTTTGGAAAATAAGGCCAACAACTTTATAGCATCATAAAGTAATTGAGGCTGGGAGGGAGCTGGGGAGGTGGGTTCCTACCCAAAGCAGAGGCAGCTGTGAGGTTACAGCAGGTTGCTCAGGGCTTCCAGTCAAATCTTGAAGAGCTCCAAGGACAGAGATTGCACAAGCTTGTGCACAGCTTGTTCCAGTGCTTGGTTATGCTCAGGGGTACTTCCTCCCCACGGCCAGTGGGAACCCCTTGGTTCCATTTCTGCCTGTTTCTCATCCTGCCACCACACACCACTTCAAGATTCTGGCTCCATCTTCTTGATACCCTCCTCATAAGTGCAGGCAGATTTCTTTTAGGTCCCCCCAAACTTCCTTCTCTCCAGCCTGAACAAGCCCAGTTCCTTCAGCTCCCCCAGTTGACAAGTGCTGTAGCCCCACCTTGGTGCCCCTCCACCAGCTATTGATGTTTGTCTTCAAGTGAGGGGCCAAATCCTGGGTGCAATATGTTAGATGTGGTCTAATAAGTGCTAAGGGACACAGAGGGACAATAATTCCTCTTGAGCCATCCACACTGCTCCTCTCCTCATAGCCCAGACCCTGCTGTTCCTCCCTTGCTGCCAGGGCACATAGATGGCTCATGTTCAGCTTGTACCCACCAAAACCTCTTGGGCATGTTCACCAGGGCAGCTCCCCAGCCAGGGATACACACACATTGAGCACTGCAACATTATGAAAAAGGTAAAAAGAAACAATGAAGTCTCCAAAATCATTTGGAAACAAAATTGCCATAAAATACCAACTCGGTGATGCCCAAGGATGCAACGATGGAGAACCTGAGAAAGGCTGGCACTGTAAAAGTTTGGTACGTGCCTCTGAAAGCCTAAAATTAGCAGGGCTATCACCAGCAGGCAACCTTTTTTCCGAGCACAGCGACGGCTGGAGCAGCAGAGAGCACAGCCTGCTCCCCTCAGGCACGGCTGCCTGAAATGTCGCCATCTCCTGGCTCACGACAGCCCTTTCTGCAGCAGAGGAACTGCCGAGCTGGTGCCCTGCAACAGGGGCTGCAGCAACAATTCCCTGCGGGCTCGGGGCATGGACACCTTTGGCACATGCTCCTGTTGCAAACTGGATTGAAGCTGCTGGCAGTGCTCGTCGTAAGGTGACTGGAAACCGAATCAATCCAAGGACAGTTCCTCACCTGCTGCATCCAGATTGGCAAAGAGTAACCATCAGGAATCTGCCTACTCACTTTTTCAAACTCTTCCTTTGGCTCAGCAGTTTCATTCTGGCTTAAGCTTCCTTGAAGTGCTTGGAGTTTAAACAGCATGAACTTCAAAGATTCCAGGGGTCTGTCGTGATGATCTCCACAAAAAGTCTGTTCCTAAACCAAAACCCAAAGAATCTGTTGGTCCTGCAGTGCACATAAGCCAAACCAACCAGGTTTTGATGCTGCCCTGGAACAAGTGAGAAGCTAATTCAGTGAAATCCCTATAAATACATGGAGAGGAAGAGAAGAAGCAGCACAGAAATGCCTCAGCCCTGGCTGGTGTAAAATAATTCAAGACCATGAAGAGTGTCAGTCCCTGTGATGAGGCCCTGACAGCAGTGCTGGACATGCTTCCACCTCTCTACTGCCATAGCAAGCAAGCTCCTTAATGAGAAACTGATTGATTCATGTCATCAGCATCTATAGCTTGAGCAGATATCATAGCAGCAAAAAAAGCAAATTAACTCAGCATGATCCAAATGTGTGGATAATCTAGGAATATTTACATCTGGAAATGTCTGATGATGCCACAGAACCAAGGGCATGGGAAACAGGAGGGATGAAATGCAGGGAATTCACCAGCCAGAGTAATTGGAATTCCTCCTGCACATTGTCAGGTTTTGTGGCAGTTCAGCTCCTTAGGGAAACACAAGGATGTGGAAAAACCTCCAGTCTGATGCTCTGGGAAAACAGAACCTTAGGGCAGTGAAGATTTAAGGACAACAGGGGAGAAAGTCAACAAACCAGTACCTAAATGGACAGTAGGCTTTCCAGCTGGGACACTGGGCTCAGGGCTCACCTCCCGAGCTGGGAAAAGGATCAAGTGTTCCTATACCCCAAAGGAAAGGCTGGACAATATTATGACTGCCAAGATGGTGATTAATATGCTAGAACAGGAAGAAAACAATGACTAGCCAGAGTAATTGCAATTCATGATCCAATTCCAGTGCAGGAGCATATTATTTAAATAAACATATAATAACAAATATATTACTTAACTCATACCCAGCAGCACACCAGCCAGGCTAGGAAATTAGTAGCATTTAATACATCAGTAACAAAAAAAATAAGTCTTCCTTTACTTGAGGCAGGCAGATGATTATTAAAACAAAACATGAGTGTAAAAGTTAAACCATTACTAAGCAAAGCATTTTATATTAGATGATGTCTTGATCATAACTGTGAGCAAGGGTTAGATTATAGGATTTAAAAACTGTTTAACTCCATTGAGCTGAAATCAGACTAAATTACTGCAGTTAGGCTTTCCATTTTAGATGTTACAGAAGAAAAGAATCAATTTATAGTTAATCCCTTTTCTAATATTTAGCACTCTCAGGTATTTTGGGCACTCCTAGAAATAAATACTCAGTTTTACTGACCTGGTTTTTGTCCCGTAAACAGTCTTCCAGGAATTTATGTATGATTTCTGCCTTGGGGAATGAGAGAGCATTCTCCATGTCCTCACAGCACCCAGGCACTGGTGGTTTGCTAAACCAACACAGAACATGCAGTAGAGGATAAAAGCAGGTTTGTTAATGAAGAAGAATTGGTTGAGGATGTGATTTGTGATGAAAACAGACACTGTAGCACTGCAGCACCAAGGGGCACTGAGTGGCCCTGTCAGAACTTTGGTGTATGTGAGAGAAACAACTGTTTGGTCTAGTTTTGCCAATATAATCCAAACCTGGGTAGCCATAGAAGTCAAATAAACAAAAAAAACCACAAAACAAAGGCAAGGTAAGGACTTCTTAGTTGGAATTGATTACATGAGTGTTTTTCTTACAGCTGGAACTCCATCATTAATGTTCAACACTTAAAGAAAAAGAGCTACCTCTGCTTAATGACCTCACATTCTTTTAGTCTCTGAAGTATTTTACTTGAAGGCTGGCAGTGCCACAAAAGGATACTGGGCAAGCCTGACTTCCAGTGATGCTTTCCTGTGTGGCCTTTCTGGTGGCTAGCAGGAGGTCACTTTGTTAGCCTCTCTCTCAGCAGGACAATGACTAGTCCCCCTGCTCTTACTGTGAGGAGGTGTTAAGCAGTATGAGCCTCTTCCTCACACAGTAAATGTTGATAAAATTAGCCAACAGGTCAAAATCTTCTGGGGTAAAGGGAAACTGATAAGACAACACCCAGAACCACACACGCTGACCTGCTTTTTAAAAGCTGTAGGAAATTCTAGTATGGAATTGTAGTCTTCTTGGCTCCTGTGAAATAACTTCCCAGTTTCTGAACAACTGAAATTCCAGTGCTCCAAAATTGCCCTTTTTGGAGAAAATGGACTTCCCTCTCTATTAACTTATTTGTCACAAATTATTAAGCTAGTAAATCTGTTAGTTTAAATTCCACTCAATGTTTTTTCTCTCAAAATAAATATATTTGCATATTAATATATAGTAAAGATCATTAGAAGGCAATCAGTAATATTGATAGCAGGCTTTGCAAGTCAATGGAAAAGCAGTGGACCAATATCCTGCCCTTGGAATTTCAAGCATTCAGCACTAACAAGAAATCTAATAACAAATCCTCTATCAAAATGCCACTGCACCCTTAATTCATCATCTAGATACCAAAGCAATTAAACACATTATGCACTTTCAGGAACAAATTAATCCAAAATACATATTTACTTACACAGCAGCTGGAGCCTTTTCCCATGACCTTTCAGTTTCTAGTGTCTCTGTGGTGGAGGAGCTGCCATCAGGCTCCAGATTCTTTGCCAGGTCTTCAGCTGAACTCTCCAGACCCATGTCAACCTTCAAGGGAGGCAGCCCAAGCTGCCCTTCTAAAAAAACCAAGGACACTTGCTTTCAATGGCATTATTTCCACTTTCTTTTTAATTGTATTAAATACTCCAAAAGAAAATGACTACAGACCAACTGGCACAGGAAACATTTTGCAGGGTGTAACCCAAATCCAGCCCCTTTTGTTAATTTGTTATTGCCTGTCAGTCTCCAGCACTAAGTGGGATCTGCCAAGTTCTGGCCAGGAGAGTGTTTAAAACAGTCAAGTATTTCTCTTCCTAACTCAGATGAAACAAGTGTCATGTGCAGCATTCAAGAGTATTTCGTGGTTTTGACATGGGTTTTCATGCTATGGAAAATATCATTAATATTAATTCACAATACAATGTTAAATATTAATTATTAATACTGTGAGTTCTTAGGTTAGAAAACCCTGCATAAAATAGTAAGAAAACTAAGAGCTGCCTTTTCAGACATCTGGGAGAGAAAACATGCAACACATCCATGCAAACCTCAAAGAATTACATACAGGACTCACATCTAAAACCAGATGGAGGTAAGTGCTCAAAATGACATATACATTCTCATATATATATATTTTTATACCTAACCTGTTCATGATTGGTAACATTTTCTGTGTGAAAAAAGCTATAACCCTGCATTTAAAGCTCATCATGCACACACATCAGAAAGGTATTTGCAGACTTTTGTATATCCAGCATTTTGACACTTTAAAAGCACAACATAAACAACATTTTCACTAAGTTTATATAAACAACCTCTTGGAAAAGGGAAGAGGTCAATATTTATGTTTTATATATTTCTTGAACTTGGACAGAGGTGAAGGTAATTGACACTTAAAATGTGAATCTCTTCTATCAAAGCAAATCTTGCTGATATTTCATATAATACAAAGATGGTCCTTCACCATGGGAGGACCTGCAGGGTGATGCCCTGCAGCAAAGAGGAGAGATTCCCAAGGAAAGCCTTCCCATAAACTGCAGGCACTGGATAACCTAAATATATGGGTTACAAATACCTCCTGCTGACTGTGTAAAGCAGAGAAAAAGACTGCATGATGAATGGTATTTCTTATCAATGTGACAGGTTCAATTACACTATGGTTTTAGGAATCTCTCTCCCCCAAGGTTACACTTCATGTAATTTAATTTAATGCTTGAAATTCTATTAAGATATTTATGGAATTACTGTCATTATCTTGCAGTAAGGTGCAAAATATGCCACTGTAATAAATACTTTGCTGTAAGAGAAACACTTGAATATTGATTTATATATGAAAACTTACAATGTAAAAGCTGCTTAACTGGGTTAACTACAAGTAAGTGTTTTGACTCATTTGTCAAAGACAGAGACTAAATCTGCTGCCCAGTGCAATCCAGCAGTGCTGATTTAAAACATGTGCTTCTTCATACCCTTATATTAAAAAAAAAACACAAACAAATTACATGCAATAGTTACCTCTGAAGGGCTTTTTAGTGCCTCTCAAAAACGAGGTATCAAATGGGCAGCATGCAACTGGGCTGGCATCTTCTACTTGGTTGTCACCTCTCAGATCCAGGAAACCACTTGGGTCAAGAAAATCAGCATTGTCTTTGTCTGCAGAGGGTCCTTCTTTCTGGAGCCAGGCTGGGAAGTACAGCTTGGGGATACTGCTCATCTCTGATACACTGAAGTCAGACTTGTGACTGCTGAGCCAGCCAGGATAATTCTTAAGATGCACAGTGTTGGAGTTCTCTTCCAAAGACAAGGCTCTTGGACTTCCTCTAGAGACAGGATCATACCCAGCAGGTGTAGAGAGGTTCCATTTCTTCAAGTCTTTGTGTGGATCCTGGTGAGCAGCAGCTTTCCCATTCTTCTGAGGACTTGAGGGACTTTCAGGATTGAGAGATGAGGTCTGCTGAGGGCAGAAAGGTGGTTGAAGTGTTCCACTACTCCATCTGTTCCAGCCACTGCTGGGATGCTTTGGTTGAGAAGGACTCTCGACCAAGGGCAGTGACCCATCCTCTGGAAATGCTAACAGATCATCTGTTGTAAGACTAACCAAGTCTGGGTCACACTCAGCCTGCCCTCCACAGGGTGAGGCAAGAAGGCCCAGTCCTCTTTGCTGATTAAAATCTCCCAGTGCTGAAAAACAAAGATATTTTACATGAATTGCTAAACTTAAAGCACAGCAAAGTGAGACACTTTTAAGATCTACACAAAGTGATAATTTAAAGCTGAAAGGCATTATTTACCAGGGGGCACTGAATTACAGCTCTTGCAAGAGTGGTTCTGTTTCTAATCAGAGCCAATTCAAACCCATATGTATTACCCAGTGGGGATAGACCTCACATCCAGAAGCACATTCCACAAAAATCAATGGATAAGGGGCAGATTTTGTTTTAAGACAAAGAAGTGCTTAAAGGAACCCCTTCAGTTAATCAGATTCTGATGTTACTTACATGGGAAAGGAAGCAGATTGTTTTCAAGAAGTTTAAGTAATGATTTACACTGCCCTTAGCACAGAGAAAATTGAATTTCTATTCCATATTCTAGAATTTATTATTGCATCTGTGAACATGCCTGGAGCCCTCAGCACAGGAAAGGCATGGAGCTGTTGCAGAGGGTCCAGAGAAGGGACAATAAGATGCTCCAAGGGCTGGAGCAGCTCTGCTCTGGAGACAGAGTTGGGGTGTTCAGCCTGGAGAGAAGGCTCCAGGGAGACCTTAGAGCAGCTTCCAGTGCCTGAAGTGGCTCCAGGAAAGCTGGGGAGGGACTTGGGACAAGGACAGGCAGAAATGGGATGAGGGGTTTTAAACAGAAAGAGGGGAGATTCACATAAGACACAAGGAGGAAATTATTTGCTGTGAGAGCCTGGCCCAGGTTGCCCAGAGAAGCTGTGGCTGCCCCATCCCTGGCAGTGTTGAAGGGCAGGTTGGATGGGGCTTGGAGCAACCTGGGCTGGTGGGAGGTGTCCCTGTCCATGCAGGGGGGTTGGAACTGGATGATCTTTAAGGTCTCTTCTTTCACCATTCTATGATTCCAAGCTAACACGGTCATGAATTCTCACCAACCCACCAAGCTTTTACAGAAAAGCACCCCAGAGAATGACAAATCTTGCTGGCCATGACCCAGCACCACTGCCTGTGCCACAGAGACTTGCAAGCAGTTGTGCAGGGACTGTTCCTTCAACAAAACACACCTGGTATGAGTCAAGGAGATGAAATGCCATTGGAAATGGAAAAATAAAGAACAGCAAACACCAGAACTTAATTAAAAGCACATTTGCAGGAGACATACCGTGTGTTTCTTTGGCATGCTGTCTTGAAAAATTGACTTGCTTGGGAGTGCTTTGACATATGCAGATTTTTCCAGTGCTTACTCCTGGGGATGTGAGACTTAAATTATAATCTTCAATATAAGCCTCCAAAGCCTCGGATGCAGAGCTGTAAAGCTTGCCCTTGTAGTGAATCCAACTGCTTGAGTGTGGATGATTGCTGTCAATGCCACAGCTTCTTAAAAGAGAAGAGACTGTTGAATCAGGAGAGCAGCCACTGCTTCCTTTCACTGAGCTTGTCATGGTTCTTATCCAGGTTCCTGTTAGGATCTTCAGTCATCTTTTTAATCAATCTACATGGAGAAAGAAAGAAAAAATCACAAGTGATCACCTGTACTGAAATGTCTTCTCAAACTGCAACACATACAAGATATTTTACTTTTGTAATGTAAATTTACTATTTTCCTAAGCCTCTTTAGCTATTCAGCTTCTTGCTTTTCCTCATGAGTTTGTCATAGATACACAACACCCCTAGAAAAGGAAAAGGTGGAAAATAAAGGCTTTGGGGAAAAGGATAAAATCAGGAAAAACTTATTTTATATTAAAACTTTCATAGTGGGTAAAAAAAAAACAACCAAGAGAGTAAGAAAAATCCAGCTCCTCACTAGGCTCTAGAGGAACCTCAGCACCCTCCTTTTGCAGGAAAAAAAGGTTTCCTGTAAGAAATGCTGACATTTGTCACCAAATACACAATTCAGCAAAGACACACAAAACTATTCTCATTTTTTATTTCAGAAACAGCACAAAAGAGAAACTTCCATGGACAGAACCAGCAGCAGCTTAAGATGCTACGAGCATAGGAAGCTGCTGCCCTTGCACATATAACTGGAAGGGGAACACAGAGCAAAAAAAATGTATCTACAAATGCTTTGAATTGCCTTATCTATGCAATTTAGTGGAGTCAAGCTGCCTCTGTAACCCCAAACACTGCCCAGGGAGGAGCTGGAGGTGCAGGCTTGTCCTGATGCTGCAGGAAATGTGTTTGTTTCATCCCTGTAGGCAAAACACCCTTAAACAAGATAGCAGCCTGGGTGCTGAGGAACCAAGGAAGGAAGATTAAGTGCCTTTGCTCTGCACAGTGTGGCACAAGCAATAATTATCCCACAACAGTCTGGGGGAAGAGCAGCAGGCACCAGCCCTGTCCAGGAAAACCCAGCAGCCCAGCCCCAGCCCAGCCCAGCACCGCCAACAAGGCTGGAAAACACCTTTCAGACCATCAAACCCAGCCGAGGATCCCACGCAAGGAGGATCCCACGCAAGGAGGATCCCACACAAGGAGGATCCCACACAAGGAGGATCCCACACAAGGAGGATCCCACGCAAGGAGGATCCCACGCAAGGAGGATCCCACACAAGGAGGATCCCACACAAGGAGGATCCCACGCAAGGAGGATCCCGCGCAAGGAGGATCCACACAAGGAGGATCCCACACAAGGAGGACCCACACAAGGAGGACCCACACAAGGAGGACCCACACCAGGACCCACACAAGGACCCACACCAGGAGGAACCCACACAAGGAGGAACCCACACAAGGAGGACCCACACCAGGACCCCCACCAGGAGGAACCCACACAAGGAGGATCCCACACCAGGACCCACACAAGGAGGATCCCCACAAGGAGGACCCACACAGGGAGGATCCCACACAAGGAGGATCCACACAAGGACCCACTCAAGGACGATCCCACACCAGGACCCACACAAGGAGGATCCCACACCAGGACCCACACAAGGAGGATCCCCACAAGGAGGACCCACACAGGGAGGATCCCACACAAGGAGGATCCACACAAGGAGGATCCACACAAGGAGGACCCACACAAGGAGGATCCACACAAGGAGGATCCCACACCAGGTCCCACACCAGGAGGATCCCACACCAGGACCCACACAAGGAGGATCCCCACAAGGAGGACCCACACAGGGAGGATCCCACACAAGGAGGATCCACACAAGGAGGATCCACACAAGGAGGACCCACACAAGGAGGATCCACACAAGGAGGACCCACACAAGGAGGATCCACACAAGGAGGATCCCACACCAGGACCCACACAAGGAGGATCCACACAAGGAGGATCCCACACCAGGTCCCACACCAGGAGGATCCCACACCAGGACCCACACAAGGAGGACCCACACAAGGAGGATCCACACAAGGAGGATCCACACAAGGAGGACCCACACAAGGAGGACCCACACCAGGACCCACACAAGGACCCACACCAGGAGGAACCCACACAAGGAGGAACCCACACAAGGAGGACCCACACCAGGACCCCCACCAGGAGGAACCCACACAAGGAGGATCCCACACCAGGACCCACACCAGGACCCACACAAGGAGGATCCCACACAAGGAGGAACCCACACAAGGAGGATCCCACACAAGGAGGAACCCACACAAGGAGGATCCCACACAAGGAGGATCCCACACAAGGAGGAACCCACACAAGGAGGATCCCACACAAGGAGGAACCCACACAAGGAGGATCCCACACAAGGAGGATCCCACACAAGGAGGAACCCACACAAGGAGGATCCCACACAAGGAGGAACCCACACAAGGAGGATCCCACACAAGGAGGATCCCACACAAGGAGGAACCCACACAAGGAGGATCCCACACAAGGAGGATCCCACACAAGGAGGATCCCACACAAGGA